CAGAGTTCACTGTAAACTGAGAGCTTGGGCAGCCACTCAGGAGAGATTCAAATGCTGCCCAGCTGATTAGTGAGAGCTCTCACAGTGCCCAGAGCGGGAAGCAGGTGCTTCTACTGGTGGGGCACCTCTGCACATGCTTTGGTGCACATAACAAAATGTATTCTTCACATGGAAGGAGGGTACTGTGACCTGCCCTGTCCATTAGTTCCACCACTAGCTGAGCCATTTTATGACTCAAATGGTTTTCTGAGCCAGAACCCACCTTCTCCTCCATGTCTAAGTACAGCTCAGACTCATGCCCTTACCATGGCCTATGACCCAGCAGTGATAGGTATCTGTACCTGTTGGTCCCCTGTAACCTTAAGCCTCTACCCTTTGCCCAGAGTCAGCACCATGAAATACATATCACCCATGATTCCCTCTGCTCCCATATCTTATACCACTTGGCCCAGGCTCTTCCACCAGCCCGTTGGTCTCCAACAGTGAGAGTAGAGGTACACTTGTTCCTCCAGTCCCTACAGCTGTTTTCTCGTCACTGGACCTCCTTATCTTCTCCAGATGATCATAGGCAATACCAGGACCTGTTACAGAGGGTGCCAGAAGACCTGGGCATACTGCTGAAGGAATCTCAGTTCCAGCAGCACAAGCTCCTGGACATCCTCCATCCCCAGGATCAAGAGTGGCACTCCCCATGAATAACACCATTCTATAGCCTGCACAGGCAGTGTGGCCTACCCCTGTCTCCTATGCAGAGTGTTGGTACTTCATTCCCATCATTCCCACTAAGGGGGCTGACTTCCTTTTCTCCCACCAGGGATAGGCACCACCATGTTGCACAATGGACCCTTGACAAAATCATCCAAAACACAGGAGTTGGTGGTGATGGGGGACTTCAACTATCCAGACATATGTTGGGAAAATAACATAGCAGGGCACAGAACAAATTCTTGGAATTTTTTTGAGACAATTTTTGTATTCCAAAAGGTAGAGAAGGCTGTTCTAGATTTGATTTCTACAAATAGGGAGGAATCAGCTCAGAATTTGAAAGTGGAAGGCACCATGGGTGAAAGTGATCCTGAAATGATAGATTTCATGATTCTAAAAAATGATAGAAGGGAGCACAGCAAAATGAAGACAATGTATTTTAAGCCAGACTTAGCAATCACAGGGTAGGTCAATTGGTAGGAAAAATAATTTAAGACAGCTGGCAACTTTTCAAAGAGACAAATTATTCCACTGCATAGGAAAAATAGGAAGTATGGCAAGATATCACCCTGGCTTACCCAAGAGATCTTGAATGATCTAAAAATAAAAAGAGTCTCATAAAAAGTGGAAAGAAGGTCAAATTGTTAAGGATGTATAAGAATAAATAACATGAATATGTAGGGTCAAAATTAGAAAGGCCAGGGCACAAAACATGCTAAAACTAGCTAGCGACATAAAGGGCAGCAAGAAAACAGTCTATAAATACATTAGAAGCAAGAGGAATATCAAGAATAGGGTAGGCCCATGACTCAGTTATGAGAGAAAAATAACTGAAAATGTGGAAATGACAGAGGCCTTTAATGAATACTTTGTTTTGGTTTTCACCAAGAATATTAGTGTTGATTGGATACCTATCATAATGAAAGCTAGTGAAAATGGTGTAGGTTCAGAAACTAAAATAGGAAAAGAACAAGTTAAAATTACTTATGTAAGTTAGATGTCTTCAAGTCACAAAGGCCTGATGAAATGCATCCTAGAATACTCGAGAACCTGACTGAGGAAATAAGTGAGCCATTAGCTAACATCCTTGAAGTGTCATGGAATATGGGAGAGATTCCAGAAGACTTGAAAACGGCAAATATAGTGCCCATCTATAAAAAGATAAATAAAGACAACCCAGAGAATTATAAACCAGTCAGCTTATCTTCTGTACTAGAAAGGATAATGAAGCAAATATTTAAGGAATCCATCTGCAAAAATCTAGACGATAATAAGGTGATAAGTAACAGTCAGCATGGATTTCTTAAAAACAAATGATGTCAAACCAACCTGATAGCTTTCTTTGACAAGGTAACAAGCCTTGTGGGTAAGGGAATAGCAGTAGATGTGGTGTATCTAGATTTTAATAAGTGTTTTGATACAATCTCACATGACCTCAAACTAGGGAAATACAACTTAGATGGAGCTACTAAAAGATGGGTGCATAACTAGTTGGATAACCATTTCCAGGCAGTAGTAATCAATGGTTGGATGGGGGTCTCAGCTCCCTATTTGTATTCTAAATCCTGCCCTGAAACCTCTGACTGAACTATTCATCTGTAAGAGGGTCACTGGAGAGGCATCGACCTGCATGGCCTATTATAATTTCTTCAGGAAGCATGAGGAGGATGCATGACACCGGTGCAGGTCAATGGACACTTTTAAGAAATCCTTCTGGTCCCAGTGCATGGCATACATGTTCTCCCACTTTGGGAATACAAATAGGGACTGTACCTCTCAAATCACCACCAGTTGCAGGTATGTAACTTCCTCTTCCTTTTTGATGACTGTAGAAACTTCCTCCATTAACTATAAAAGTAAGAGACAGCGGCACCTGTTACTATAGTGACCAAAAGAGAGTCAGCAAATCTTGAACAAAGTGCTCATTAGTGAAAGCCCAGTCATGTAGTTTATTCTCTGTTAGCTTGTTCACATTTCCCTACTAACTAACAACTAGTACTTGACATTGCAACATCATTGTGGTATAGATTTGGATCTGTACACTCTTCAACTTTGGCAAAGTCCAGATACAGAGATATATCTGGACCTGGCAATTTAGACTGATCTATTCTAGATGCGACCTTAACCCCTTGATAGCATTGATCCAATCTAGTTATTTTATCATTTCAAGACAGAGTCATGAATTAATCACCCTAACAACAGCCTCAGTACATAAATTGAATCCATTATCATACATGCTTGGCTGTTGGTAGCAGATAAGCACCAATAAAACCGTTCTATCCATCATCTATGAATAACATCTGTTTCAATTTCTATAGTTCCTGTTACCTTTATAATAAAGGTTGTTTCTTTAGTATTTTTTCAGTGAAACAGGTGGTAAAATAGATTAAGAAGGGGAAACAGAAATGCAATGGCAATAATTCCATAAACTTGTAATAAGGTGAAATTAAATCTTTGCCTACTCTACTAAAATGTTCAATATATAACAACCTCTTATATGCTATTGTGTTCACGATATAACAGTTTCTTCCTAGTAAATGGGTTACAGCAGGCAAGTAAAGTCATGAAACATAATACAAAATAGTGATACATTGTACATAATCCAAAACATTCTAAAAAGATACTATTGCATATGTGTACATACAACTGGCAGTCACATGTAAAGATGGACAAACAACTACACTGTCATGCACTTAATAACTTTTTCCCACAGGAGATATATAATGCAAAACAAATTACTAGATCAAAAAAATTAGGTACTATTGATCACTGTGTTAATTGCACTATTAAACAATAATAGAATACCAATTTAAATATGTTACAAATATTTTGGATACTTTTTAAAAATTTCAAATGTATTGATTTCAATCATGACACAAAATACAAAGTAATAGTGTTCACTTTACATTATTAGTTTTTTTTCCTCAGAATTAATTGCAAGTAATTTTAAAAATCATTTCACAGCCTACCTAGAATATGTCCACACCAAAGAACTAATCTGTGGCTTCTTAAAAGATTTCTGATAAGTTCTGGGATCATGAAGTGTTTAATTTAAAATTCAGTTGTGATAAATGCCCTGATAAGTCCAATGAAGGACACAATCTGAATTAAGATTTTATTTGATTTAATTAAAGTTAAAAACTTCAGGTGCACAGCTTTAATTTTAGTCACTATCTATCTGAAAGGGAATAAATATTTTCAAAATGTTCACATAGGACCAAACTCTCCACTTTGATTCTAGATCAGGGTGTGATCTTTAGTAACACTGTTGTAAATCTGACTAATTCCCTTAGGGTATGTCTACACTACCCCGCTAGTTCGAACTAGCGGGGTAGTGTAGACATACCCTAAGGGAATTAGTCAGATTTACAACAGTGTTACTAAAGATCACACCCTGATCTAGAATCAAAGTGGAGAGTTTGGTCCTATGTGAACATTTTGAAAATATTTATTCCCTTTCAGATAGATAGTGACTAAAATTAAAGCTGTGCACCTGAAGTTTTTAACTTTAATTAAATCAAATAAAATCTTAATTCAGATTGTGTCCTTCATTGGACTTATCAGGGCATTTATCACAACTGAATTTTAAATTAAACACTTCATGATCCCAGAACTTATCAGAAATCTTTTAAGAAGCCACAGATTAGTTCTTTGGTGTGGACATATTCTAGGTAGGCTAGAATCAAACTCAGAGCCACACTTAGCCCCCTTTTGCTGCATGGCTGGAATCTGTTGCATACTCTGTAACTCTTCCTTATGAACTAGTTTCATACTCTACATTCCCACTGAACTTGGACACATGGCATTCATGCTTGCCACATTGTTGGCAGATCCTGCATGGGATTCATACTTGCTACATTGATGGCAGACCCTGCATCAGTGGCAATATACAGTTATCTACCCGAGTGCTTGTGGAAGGAGTTAATATTGACATATTGTCAGACGTGACCAAATGCTATCCAGTCGGATTGCAGTTCTAAAAAACAGTGTAGAATAGAAAAGGGGAGGGGAATGAAAATCTAAAGACCTGGTGGAAGTATATTCTCAGGCATTTAGCTATTATTTATCTGAACAGCTGGTAATCCATTAAGCCCAATGATTTCTTTTATCAATTAGTATCTCTGATAGCCATTAGAAGCACTTCATATTTAATATCAATGGACGACTTCACCTCTGTCTCCTACAGTACACTTAAATGATTCCTTGGCAAGTAAACTTAATATCTTTGCCCCATCCACATGACTGGAAGAGTGGATAAGGGCAAGAGTTTATTTTTGCAGAACTGGATCCCTCTCCACCCACTCCCTTATGAATCTGAACTTCTATCTGCTAAGTCAAAATGAACTTTAATAAATGAGCAAAAGACATTAGCTATGTGTAGTTCATGCTTACATTCGTAATGATTTTAAAATGTGCGGCTGCATCTTGAAGAAGAACAGAGCTTGACATAATTTCAGTTATCAAATACTGGTAATTGACACAGAGACAGGCTGTGCTTTACACTAGGTTATAATTAATCCACTTCAGTGACCTCAAAGGCTGCACTTCTGAGAAATCTACCACTTACGTTTTGATTCTTTGTCAACTACTTCAGCAGACATAAATTACAAATGAGGTACTAATGAAGTATTTCATCACCTGTTTACGTTCAGTGATCAGTTTCCTTACTCTAATTTACAGCACATTTTTTTTTTTTTTTTTTGCAGCTACTGTCAGCTGGAGCTGCCTTTTACTCAGAGCTGTTATAAATCAGCACATAGCTATCAGTTTTCTTTGCGTTTTAAAATTGTACAACATGGGAAGAAATAAGTTTACATTTTTAAACTGATAGAAGAAAAGAGAAAAATGCTGTGTTAGTTATAACTTCTGGTCTTTCCACTAACTTAAAGATTAAATTATTAGAGCCAAATTCTGTGCTGGTGTAAATGGGTAAAATCCCATTGAAGTCTGGTAGCTGCACCCTTTTACAACAGTGGAGAATTTGACACATTAAAAATGTCTCAGACATAAACTAATCCTTGCCAAATTATTAAATATTAGAGATAAGTGTGCAGTAACTGTACAAGTGTTTTTTTCTGGCTATAAAGATGTCACCAAGCTACTGAGATATCTCCATTAAAATATTTACATTATAATAAAATATCTAGGTTGTTTACATGCTGTTCTCATTTAAAATTTTAGGGTTTGATTCTGATCACAGATCTAACATGAAAAGCACTGGCGAATGGAATAATTTGTGTCTTAAGGAATAGCAGATAGGAGTTTAATTTTCAAAAGAAGGTCATGAATTTGTGTACAGCTCTGGTAGCTCCATCTTCTTTTCCCATGAGAACATCACTACGAGAAAACTAAGAGGGGACATGATAGCAGTTTTCAGATATCTAAAATGGTGTCACAAGGAAGAGGGAGAAAATTGTTCTCCTTGGCCTCTGAGGATAGGAGAAGAAGCAATGGTTTTAAACTGCAGCAAGTGAGGTTTATGTTGGACATTAGGAAAAGCTTACTAGCTATCAGGGTAGTTAAACACTAAAATAAGTTGCCCAGGGAGGTTGTGGAATTGCCCTCTCTGGAGATAGTTAATAGCAGGTTAGATAAACATCTATCAGGGATGGTCTAGATGGTACTGGGTCCTGCCATGAGGGCAGGGGACATGACTCAATGACCTCTTGAGGTCCCTTCCTGTTCTAGTGTTCTATGATTCTATGATTCTGTGACCCTATTCTGATGCCTCCAGCTAATTCCAACCTATTCCCATAGTTCAAAAGCCAGTTCTTGCCAATGATAACTGGTACCTTAACTTTCTTCCATTGAGCTATGAGATCTCAGGCCTAGAGCTGGACAGGAAACAATTTTCCCATCCTGAGAAAATTCTTGAGATCCCCACATATTCCTGTTCCAAATCACAGGGAGAAGTTGAAATCTTGCTAACTGAAAATCCAAAACAAACAAAACAAAACAAAAAAACAACCATCAAATCAATTAAAATATTTCATTTAACAATTTGGAAATGTTAAATGTATATAATGATCTTTTTGCATGACCTTATAAAAAATAAACATTTATAGAAACTTGGAATGGAAAAGTTGTTTTAACTCAAAAAAACCCCATTTTCTTTATGTTTTGAACATATCAAGAGGATGTTTTGACAATCTGAAAAGGTGTTGTTGGTTTGTTTAAAAAAAAAAAAAAAATCCAAGCCAGGAGATTTGTGAAAATTGGCCTTAGTTCTGCAAACAGTTTTGATTTTCACAAAAAATTCCTGGCCAGCCAATGTTCTTCCATCTGCAGATGTCTCTATCCTACTCTCCCATCATCCTATTCCAAATTCTTTTCTCCGCTGGTGCCTGCCCTCTATGGATGAACTTGTCCTTCTGAACCCCAGTGCTACGTGCCTCCTCACTGTCAGTGCATGAAGTGTCTCCCACTCTGCTACAGGATCACCTGCATCCCCATCCTTTTATGAGCCACTCACCTGTGGCTGCCTAGACTGTCTGGACCTTACTTCATGTTGTGAAGTCTACACATTGCGTCTGTTCTGTTTTCTCTTGGGCTTTCTTTTTTATTTGGTATCATGCTAAAGAATATTCAGGCAGGATTGAGCTAGAAAGGGCTCTCATAGGATATTTCAATAATACCTAAGAGAAATGTTTTTATAGAAAGGAATGGTGTTTCACTTTAATGAAAATCTACTAGAGCCAATTGGAGCTGTTTTAAATGTCCTGGATGCCTGCCTTGAAACTTGAAAATTAGCATACAGGGTGAGTAATGCAGGCTGGGGTAGACTAGGTCTCTCCAAGCCTCATGCTTTGTGTTGGGGGGAGGGGCAGTGGTGAATTATCATGGTCCCTTGGGACCCTGGAAAAATCTCCCCCTGACATGGCCCCTGGGATGGTAGAGCTCTCATTCCCTGCCATGGCCTGAGGGACACGGAGAGGCAGAGGGCTTCTTTGGTATTGGGGCTGCAGTGGATAGTGGGAGGGTGTAAAGGAGTGAGCAGGGTCATGGCGTTGAAAGGAAGAGGTGAAATGTGGGGGGGTGGAATGGAGGCAGGACCATGAGGGAAGTTGTGGGATGGGAGGAAGAACAGGGCATGACCACAGGGAAGGGACAAAATGGAGTGCATCCAGAGGTGGTGACCATGAGTTGTCACTGTGGTCCCGGTCAGGGCTGAAAGCTGGACCCTCACTAGCACTGAGTTCTCAGCTTTCCCTCTGTATCCTAACTGAACTTTCAGGCCTTTTCCCCCATCCTGCCCCATTTGGGGCCATAGGGCAGAGGGAGTAAGCTCTCAGGCTCCAGTCTCCCCGCCCTGCAGGATCATGGGTGGGCAGAGACCAGCAAGTGAAGGTGTGGCCTTGGCCAGAAGATATGGGGGAGGGGGCCAGTCTCCCCAAGGGGAAGCTTCACCTGCCGCCCATGAAAATCAGCCTATGTTCCATCTGCCCCCCTCTTTAACTGACCTTTAGGACTGTGTGCTGAAGCTAGCTGACAAACATTTCTCAGTTTTGCTCCTTTTTCCAAACCTGAGACTCACAGAATAGGAATCCAGATAAGGTCAAGTGACAGGAAAGCCCTGTGCATTGAAATCATGCAGAAATCCGTACTGAGAGCACTTTGCAGAGTTATTCAGTGACCTACCATGTAGGGTGTGCTCCATGACCATTGTTCTATGGGAATTCTGTGAAAATGGAAGAATGTTTTACTTTTTCATTTGCCATTTCCTGCACTTCATCACCTTTCTTTTCTCTCATGCAGAACTGGTTGCTTTTCATGCTTTTCTGGGTTTACCTCACACTGGGACACCAGATATGCATACTATTGGAAAAAATAAAAAACTGAACCCAAACGTGTCAGCAGTCTTCTACCTACTAACAGTTTCCTTGGGTTTTTCCTACCTAATTACTTTGCTATACAAAGGGGTGGGGGGGAGGAGGGAGAGTTATTACCATAGCAACTGTCACAATGCATAATGTTGAACATTACTCTGAACAAGCTGTACTTTCTTAAGGAAACATACACATCATAATGACATATATTTTTCTTTTGTATTTTTGGTCTGTTTTAAGTAATAGCATGCTCCTACTTGCATACAGTAAGTTCCAAAGGCAGTAATAATTTCCCACACATTGATTTGGGCTAGGCTTTGTTGTTTTTGTTACCGTTTCTATTTATTAAAGATGATCTGATTTTATTTACAGAAGAAAACAAGCACAGAGACTTCTTTTAGAAATATCAAATTTAGCAACGCAGAATAAAAGCATAAAGAAGGCAGGGGAGGGGCATAATCTCACCTTTAGATTTACAAGTGGACAGGGCAGCTTGCATGCTTGCCCTCCTGCACCATGATTTTGTATCTTCTCTAGAAGAAAGCTACTGAATGTGTCTAGTACTATTTACAGGGCAGTATCAATCATACACTCTAGATGTGGGCATAAACCAGTCTTTGTGGGCAGGGAGGGGTACTCATTAATGACCTGATTTTCATACAACTGTAGAAATGTCTCCCTTTCTGATCCTATAAATCTGAGCAAGTGTGTGAGAAATAGCTGAGGTTTGGTGGAGGATATAATTCTTAATCCTGTCATCTTGTTGCCACATTCAAAATCCAGCATGAAAAATTATTGCTGGTGGCTATTTTAATCTTATCATTAATGTGCTTTTTATCACACCTATTTCTATCAGTGACCATGACAGAGAGGCCAAACTGGAATATCTTCCTTTAACCACACCTTTTGATGTAATCACAGACCATGTTCTATGTTTCTCAATGAAATCCATGACTCGTCTAGTTATGTGAGTGGGAACAGATGACAGACCACTGATATTTTTACCGAAATAGAGCAGAAATCGTAAAACACTCCACCTTCAGTTATTCCCAGCTTGTTAGAAAGCCACTGGATCTATCTCCCAGAAGATAACTGCAGGTATCACTTGGAGAAGAAAACTGTGTACAGAGTGGACAGGGCCACATGAGCAGTTCAGATAATGGGTACCCAGGGTGTGGTATGCTTATACATGCTAAACTTGAAATTTAGTGTGTTTATGCAACAGAGTCATGATTTTGTGTATGTTTCCATATATAGTAATATGCTTCTGTAGCCCTGACAATGTGGTGTGGTGCATGTGTGTGTACTTTGGTGTTCGCCAGTACTCCTGAAACAAAATTACTTAAAGAGGTCAAAAGATTATCATTTCAGTTTGAGACTCACAAGTGAGCAGAATAAACTGTCCTTTTTCTAGGCCTGAACTGGAAAAACTAAACAGAACCAATCCAGATTAGGCAAATCAAAACTGACCTTTGTTGTGCCCAACTCAAAAGACTAAAAGTTGTGAATCCCAGGAAAAGTCCTCAGCAAAGTGGTTTAGGAGTCTGGTTCAGCAAACTCCTTCAATTCATGATTAACTGTATACACCTGCTTAAGTGCTTTGCTGAATTGAGGCCTATCTGTTCATTACTAGGATTGCCAGATGGCTTAACCAAGAATACCGAACACGCCTTCCCCCCCAAAAAAAAACACCGGGAAAAAAATTCTGTTGAGGGGGAAAAAAAAAGGACCCCGACAGCAGTTATTAAGCAAATAAATAAATAAATAAAAATTGAAAATCAACATGGCCCCTTTAAGAAGAGGCTTTTTTGCCAGCAGCCATTTTGTTTTTCTTTCCAGCCACAAGACAAGCTACTGCAGAACCAGGTAAGCGGAGTGGTGTGTGTGCGGGGGAGGGAAGAGGTTGGAGGGAAATTCGGGGGGCCCAGTGGAGGTTCGGGGGGGCGGGCCCGGTTGCTGAGTGTTTTGTAGGGTTGCCAGGTGTCCAGTATTTTTGCCTCCTGGCAGGGAAATAAAACAGAAAATACTGGACATTTTAAGTATCTGGTATTTTCTGAATTCTTTTACCAGACAGGAGGCGAAAATACTGGACTGTCCAGGTCAATACTGGACACCTGGCAACCCTTACCCATAAATATTATATTAACTTCCACAATGACTCCTCCATGCTAATAAAATGCAGGAGAAAAGTAAAGTACAAAACAGAAGAAAGAAGGTGTGAGTCTGTTTTTGATTTTATTAATTATATGCCTCTAGTCTAGAAACTTTAATTATACCATTATGAAGTCTTGTTCACATAAAACTGTGGCTCAGTTGCTTCTATGAAATAATTTTTATTTTGTGCACATAGACTAGTCAAATAACAGTTCAGTGTTCATTTCTTATAAGCTCATAATGATCTGAAAGACAAACATGTAATATTATAGGAATTGATTTGCTATGTTAAAGCGTCTTTTATTTCATTGCCAACCATAATTTTAAACTTAGCTTCATGGCTAATATTGTCCTTTGGCATTGCAAAAATGGTCTGTGTGTGGTCAAGACAGGTGTGTCTGTTGTTTCTGAACATAATGCTGCCTTAAGTAACCAGTTTCTACTTCATGTAGAATTTTAAAACTTTTTGCTTTCTTTGTCTGCTCATTGTGTTTCAAACAATGCTTTTATCCAATGCAAATGGAGCAGGTACAGATCGAGCAGAACCTTTGCTGTTAAATCCTCACTGACGAACAACAGTATTACTGCTTCCTGTTGTTATATCTCAGGGGTCATGCATTTAACCAAACTCCTTATGCTAATCCGCAACTGAAATCCATTTCCATTTCGGAAGTGTCCCCACTGAAATCTTGTAGGTCACTGTATTAGCTCTAGCAGTACTTTTAAACTTTCAGATGTACCCCAGGGAAATTATTCCTATCTCATTTACACCAGTAGAAGCTGGGAGCAAATCTCCTAAAGTCAATAGAGTTACACCACATACATCTGGTGTGAAAGCAGAATTTGGCCCAACGTGCTACAGTTACACAAAGCAGAGAAATACCCCAGCCATTTTAAAATTACAGAAAAGAAGGGCATCAGTAGGTATATACGGCTTCAGAGCAACTGTACCAGCTGAGGCATTTACCCCTGAAGGAGGCTAGGCAATGGTTTCTGACACCAAGAACAGCTTTAAATTCTGGCCCAGATTCCATAGAAGCCCAGTCAGTGGAGATTTCCTGGGAAAGGTGCTGAATCAACACATATTCCTGGAGGCATGAGCTACTCTCCTCCCCAGTAGGCTCTGAACCATGTTCTAGGTTGTGCCAGACAGTTCCCTGCCGCCTTGGTAGTTTGCGCCACGATGTTGTCTTTGTTCAAAATTACTGTCCATCAAGAGAATGAGCCAGACCTAATGCTTCATACATTATATATGTAGGTTACATGGAAAACAAATATAAATTAATTGCAGTTACACAATTGATGTGTATTTCATGGTTTTGTTTCTGTTTTTTATCTAAAGTACACATACATGGTGTTTCTACAGACTAAAGAAACTAAGATGTGATCTCTTTTAAAGAATGCCCCTATTAATACAATGCTGGGGGAAACAGGAAAATGCTAAGTATCTGCATCTGAAAATAGCTCTTTTTAATTCTTTAGCCATGAAAGATTTTGGGCTATATATCATTTTACATTCAGTGTTCATGAACATTTAGCTATTAATCAGGGTATATGACTGTTGAGATTTATTCCAACACATTCCTGAACACTCTTGTAAAGTGAGATTTTTAGATCAAGAGAACAACATGTCCCAGAGAAAAACTTTTTCAAGTAAATAAAAACTAAAATTCAACTCTTGACTTAATACCTTTCTAGGTCACATAAATATATGAAATCAGGGAATATTCTCCCTGTATAAAATCAGCTTGTAGCAAACTTCTGATTTCTATATATCCTTCGGGTATATAAGTACCATTATTTTATCGCATGCGTATTATGATAGAATCCACACAATACAGGGGAATAATGTAAACAATTATTTTAAGCAATGAAGGCAAAATGTCATTATGACTGATAATATCAGCATGGCTCTATTAGCTTCAGTAGAGCAACAGCAATTTGCAACAGCTGAGGAGCCAGACCTAAGTATTTAACCCTTCATTTGGGCTTTGATGTTGCAGCTTACCTGTTCTATGAGACCACTTAGCATGTCAAAACCCAAATTGAGTAGCAGGGTATAGCATGGTAGTTCAGAATCGAAGTTCAGTCTGAACTCTTAATTTGCTTTGGTCTCATGAATTTGTCTCATAATTAATTACTAGGGAGCTGCACCCTGCTCACCACATTCACCAACCCCCTTCTCTCTAGCCGCTTTTGTGGCCAGAGATCACGACGATGTCATTTTGTTGCCTGGCAGGAAAAACCTTTTATATATATATAGAGAGAGAGAGAGACATGGAGGTGTACTGAACTGTAGTCTGTTTTGTGGCATAATTTTAATGGTAAGTATCCCAGTCCTATCCACACACAACAACTTCATAGATGCATTAGGAGTTAGTTTAGTTTTGTGCAACAGTATTAGGCGACTAAGAAAGTGCTCTGTAATATTCCAATCAAATCCCAATATCAATCTATTTTAATAATTCCACCACTAAGGGCCTAACCACATCATGGCCTAACACAAAATATTGTTTTTAACAAAAGAACCATTTTCAAGTTAAAGGATCATAGAAAAGAAACAGAAACTGGTAAGTTCCTGTTTGATTTCACACCTGTCATTTATAAATGTGCATGTCAAATCAGATATTACGCAAGTCATGAAATGACCAATAAGAGCTCAACCTACAGGAAATCTGAAACCAAAGAGTTGTTCACAAGTGTGGATGCAAACTAACAATGATTTTATAAACACCATCAAAAATTATTAATGTAATCTTGCATTCCCCAAAGGACTCAAAGCACTTCGCAGGCCAAGCCAATTGAAATATACACTTGATTCACTTCATCACAGCCACTTCAGGCATGAAATACAAGAACTATTTAACTGTCTGTAGCTACACCACATCA